TCACACTAAATTCTTAACTTGCATGTCAAAACCTGACTTTATTGTACAAATTGAAGACACTGTTTATAATGCCTTTAAGTCTCAAATCTAATTCCTGTATTGGTAAAACTAAGAACCCAAAATAAGTCAGCTCTGCTCTTAAATTTTCATTATAAATTTGACTCAAGTGGATTTAAAAACATATTCAATTCAGAGAAAAACTTGATCTTTGCAAAATGTTCTCACTGTTTCAGAATCTCAGAAAGCTGCTGCTATACACTGATTGCTTGGGGAATCACTGGTTTAAAATGTAGATTACAGGTTCTGCTCCCAGATATGTTGATTCAGAAGTTCTATGGGGGAGCCGGGATTTAGCTCAGTGGTTCCACCACCTGCCTCAAGAGAGCAAGGTCCTGAGGTTGATCCCCAGTACCAAAAAAAACCCAGAAGTTCTATGGGGGCCTAGAATCTACATTTCTGACAGATGTAGTTTTATGGCTATACTTTGAGAAACACTGGCATTGTAACAAAGTTCCTGCTATATCAAGAATTAAACGGCCATGTTCAATTCCAACTCATCATAAAAAGCTGGAAATGCTTACAAACTTGTTCCATCAATTTAAGGAAACAGATAATTTATAATTTGTACTGACAGTGTCAGAATTTCATTTAAGCAGAGAAACATTTTTCTTTTTTTTTCCTGCAAAATGTTCACAGTGAATAAAAATAATGTGTGAATGTAATTCCACTTGCAGGGCCTGCCAGTCATGACTGCTGTCCCATCTGCCCACAGTCTGGCGCAGGGTTTCCATAAGAGAAATTTACTAGGAGTATGTTCATCTATTAAATATGTTTAACCTAGATGCTTGGGAAAGTAAAGAAGTCAAATGGACACTAAATTTAAGGCCATTTCATATCATAATCTATAAAAATTACTAAACCTTAAAATACTGATTCCTTCTCATAAGCAAATGTCTATTTTTTAATTAGATAGGTTTTGATTTCTAGTACCCCACTTTATTCAATTATATTATTATAAGGGAAAAGTCTTCATTTTGCATCAAATTCTTAAACTCCAAACTTCTCAATGTGTTTTCATTAAATACAGTTCTGTTAATTGTTCAGCAACAGAAAAGTTTCTTATTTGAAAAAAAAAAAGCTGAGAAAGCAAATAAAACCAAATAAATTCAAAAGTTCAACATTTAACTTTCTTCTTCAAGGATCTCTTTTTGTCTCAAGAGTATAACTTTTTAGGGCTGGGGATTTAGCTCAGTGGCACCGCGCCTGCCTTGAAAGCCCAAGGTCCTGAGTTCTATTCCCAGTACTAAAAAAAAAAAAAATGAGTATAGCTTTTTAAAAAATTTTAACAGGTTTTATTTTTTAAAGTATTGTTCAATCTATAAAAGAAATAAGCACAAAACTAAACATTTGAAAATTAAAATAAAAGACCCATAATGTCATACCCTAACACAACTTCATATGCTTCTGCTGAGTTTTCCTGTCATCTTTCTCTATAATATCCAGTTACACACAATGCATACATAGCATTGCCTCATAAATATCTTCCCACTTGCTGCAAAAGGTTTGAAATAACATTTTAATTCTATATGTTTTCTGTATAAAAATAATTTCCCAGGCTTTAGAAATACCCAGGATAAACTTTCCACAAACACCACTCATATATACCCTGGTGAATCTGCTTCTGATCAAGATAATTGCAAAGTATTATATGGAGTATTATGCTACTCTGCAACATGTAAACTGTTTGTCTTTGGGGTGGAGATGGTGTATTCTCAACTGCTGTTTCTCATTTCTTTTGAAGTATCCAAATCTGATATATTTTATTTATTACTAGGGGGGAAAAAACCTCCTATTGTTATCATCATGTAGAGCCCCTGCCAGTGCTAAGCACATTTCAAAGAATATCTCATTTAATTCTAAGAACCTTTTGATGTAAGTATTGTCACCACCAATTTAGAAAGGAGGCAGAGTATCTGTGACTTCTCCAAGGTCACACGACCAGTAAGTGATAAACTTGTCAGGTAAACCCAATCTATCTGATTTTAAGTTCCAGGTCTCTTAAGACTATCCTCATATTATAAAGCTGTGCCTTGCACTTAATTCATCTTCTTTCTACCCACATTCATTTTAAAACATCTGTCCATCACACTTGCTGTATGGTTATTCAAAGCATATGCTTTAAAAATCATTCAACAAATTCACCCAGTGTTTACGAGGTGCCTGCTTGGTGCCACATATTGTGCTCAGCCTTATCAAATTGGCCTTAAAAGGTTTATGATCCAAGGCATAGAGGGTGCTTAAAAGCAACACAGTGACTTTAAAGAAAAAAAAAACATGTGAAGCCTGGACATTATCCATTACTGGCTGTTGAAACTGACAGAGAACAGAAGCCCGTACTGAGGCTCATGAGCACAGATTAGTAACCCCTTCCATCCAAGAAAGAAACTGAGGCTATTGTACATTGGTCACTATGAGCCTTTCACGGCCCAAATTCCAAAATGAATTCTTTGGCTCAGCAAATACAGATATTACAAGTGAAACACATTTTGGGAAATTAGGAGAGAAATTTTAAAAATCTTTTCATTGTCATACCATTAGGGTCACCCTCCAAATCCCAAGTGACTATTTGAGTCCAGCTGTTTACTCCCTTGACTTGGCTTTTGTCAACTCAAGGTGTCAGAATACCCCAAGTTCCAATAAACACAGGGCTCTTTTTACCACTGGCAGAAGTTCTGGAGGGGAAAGGCAAGAGGTTTTTGTCCAATCTTCGGCCAAAGTTTTAACAGAGAGGCAGTATTCTCCAGGGTCCAGCAAGGCAGTGACAGGGAACAAAGTTCAGAGAACACTAAGTAAATGGGCCCATATAGGTGGCCCCCAACTGTTCCCTTGTCCTTCTGTTGCTAACCCTTGACAATTCTGTGCTTTTCTTTAATACTGTGCTTTTCTTCTGTGCTGCTTCTCCTCATCTTCCCTCAGAGCCACAGTGATTAAGAATGTAAGCTGATCTTCAAATATCAGCTCTACCACTTACTAGCTATGTGACCCTGGGCAAATTACCTCTGTTTTTTCCTCTATAAAATGGGATAAACAGCATTTAGCTCCTGTAGTGGCTAAACACTTGATTGGGACAATATAGGTAAAGCACTTAGAAGCACCTGGCAGTGTAGGGTAGGAGGGGTTGAAAAATGACAGCTATTACTCAGAGCACTTCTGGTCCAGCCCATTCTTTATCCCTTAGATATAACAGCTTCTGGATCATATATTTTGCCTCAAGCCAGGTGTCTGAAAGTGAGTCTGAGTACTCTGCATTCAGGTCCTTTCTCTGTTCATTACAGTGCTCTACTTTTGTATGACGGTCAACAATATGTTTAGAATTTCATTTTGTTTTGTTTTTAATAGTTTAATATATCTAAGATGGAACTTCTGAAATTCCCAGGACTAAGAAATTCACACTTACTTAAAACTATCTCAGTAGCTTACATGGTGAAATATATTCAATAAAAATGACTGCTGGGTTTGTTTTCTTGTATGGGATCTTAGAAAGTCTAGTTTGATACCTTCATTAGATACATGAAAAAGCAATCCAAGTGGGAAAGGAAAAGCCCACTTGCAAAGTCAGAGTGTAGGATCTGGACAGAAATGAAACCATAGCTTCCACTCACCAGCTCCATACTCTTTCCCCCAAAAGATGCAGCCCTCAGTCCAACACAGTAAACCAGCTTCACCTTTCTATACCACAGATGGTGGGAAGAATGTCATGTTTGAAGAGGAGCAAAATTCTTTATTTGCTGCAAATATTCTTTCTGAATTTTAACAGTGTTTTAGACATCACAAAGAGGCAATAAATATGTTGTTGATTTAATTTTACATTAAAAAGGCAAGTGATACCAAGAAATATACCCTTGCTCTGGGAATTTCTTCTATATACAAAGACCTGCCATTCACAAACAATTAACAGATATTCTGGATAATGAAATTTACTGATTCACTAGGAAGTCCAACTTTCAAAGAATAAAAAATATCATGAAATAAAATATGCTAACATCCTTCATATATTTTATCTTTCTAGAGACTAAAAGGCATTTAGAGAGCATTACTTTAGGCATTAATGACAATGATCCTGGATTGAACCACATATTCCACTTAGTACAGCCCTGGGTTCAAATTTTCCATCTCTTCATACCAGTAATTAAAATTCTCCCCACATTCCAATTTTTCAGAAATTCATAAATGAATAAATCAAGTCAGCAAGCATTATAAATAAAAATAAGCTAAGTCATAACAGACTGAAAAATCAGAAAATGCAGGCTGGCAAGCTTATCTACAGAAGCCTGTGCACATGAGAGGAATTGATTATGCCTACTGCCACACATATACGTGGACTTGTAAGAGCCCCCACTATGGAGCCAATGTGGCAGCAGCTTAGCTTGAGCAACGATGCAAACTCTACAGCCAGAATCATGAATTACCCATATTCATAAGAAAGAAGCAAATGACAAGAAAGGTGCATATCACAGATTTCTTCTAAAAAAATTAACATCAGGCAGAAAGGCAGGGCAAGGAGAGGATGGGAGTTGAAAATGACCAAAGTATGTTATGCACATGTAAGAATCTGCCAAAATGAAACCAATTAATATGTATAACCAATTTAAAAAGGAGTGGAGAAAATAAAAATACAAATTTAAAATGAAAAATATCAATTTTAAAGTAATAAATATGAAAAGTAAAAGAAAAAAACTTGCTAGATAGTATACTCTGAGTTCAGAAAACACCAAAGTCAAATTATCATCAGATTGGACCATCTCAAGCTGCCTTTTTAAAGTCAAAAATAGTCAAATACTGGAAATATCACACTGTCCAAACACATAGCGTTATGAGGAAACATAAAACCTTGGTCGTCAAGGCCAGTCTCAAACATGGCTTTAAGAAAATCATCTATTTTATAGTGATTTTTATCAATGAGTCCTGAAGCAGAAAAAGTAAGGGGATTTGGGGCTTACCTTAGTGTTAGTTACCAAAAACTTCATTGACTAGAATTCTTCATTTTCTGAGCATTTCTATTAAAGTTTTACTGTAGAATAATTTATGAGATATCCAGGCAGGTTGTGGGGGTGAGGGGGTAGGTCTGACATTTAAGGTTATTCTAAAATATCTCTTTTGTAAAAAGTCAGAAGTGTGGCAAGTTTGAGTCTTGCTCAGGCCTGGGCAGAGTTATATTCAGCAGTCTGGGGCAGGGAGCTGGCACAGCTTCAAAGCTGCAAGGCCTAGGCTGGCTCTCCTTGTACCCTGAAGCACTATTGGGCAAAGACAGCATCCTTGTTCCTATCTGGGGCCTCAGCCTTCTGTTTGAGCTTCAAGGTTCCCTGCTGGCTGAAGAAATATGCAAAATATTTCCATGAAGGACCTGCTGTGTGGAAGCAACAGGAAATAAAGATTTACTCCAGAGATTCCCTGCTAACCAAGAGGTGGGGGTCCATCTGAGAATCACAGTTTTCCAAGCAACTTGTTATTTTTACCAGATGTTTTCAAAGTCAGGTCTTGTGCACAGTATTTAAAAGATATTTTTATTATTTGGAATAGAAAGAACTTAACCATAAGAAGTACCGTAACTGACCATTAACAGCCAACTCAAATTCAAACTGACATGAGGGAAAGAAATTCCCACGGGAAGATGACTTTTAAATTTTCTTAGGGATTAAGAGAAATTACTCAAACTTCCTGGAGTGAAATCAATTCTTAGATCTTCTAACAAAGGTGTAGACTAAAGAGACTTCTCTGGCCCAGTATAGCCCATATATAAAAACTGGGGTCTCAGATTCACCCTCAGATCCTATAGTGACCTCTTCTGCCAATTGCTTGCCCACCCACCACCCCATCTTCATTTGGCTAAACCACCCATGAGTAGAGCACCCTTTCATTCTACTCCCACTGCCAAACGCTCCTAAACTGTGACACACATCTGAAAATTTTTCTTTCCAAGCCCTTATAAGCCCCTCATGTCCTTCCATAGGCTTCCATCTTCTCTAAAAAGATTATTGGGGATGACCAGATCCCACAAAATGATAGATAACAGATTTCCACAACTCCAGATTTCCACAACTCCAACTGATCTAGCTGTGGAACTGCATGTTTACAATCTTTATGTCTTCCCTGTATATGTAATCTGCACACTTTTGTTAATTTTTATATTTGCCTAAGGTGCTACTTTCTCTTGCCTACTGATTTCCCAGTATCACATACCTAACTCAGAAAATGCGCTTCTAGAAAGCAGTGTTTCAGCCTCATTGTATAGAGAAAGACTGAAGGAAACAAGTGCTCTACCTAAAGGGATGTGTAGTAGAAAGCGTAAAGCTACAGACCTGACAGCATTGTTTGAATTCAGCCTCCTGGAACTCTGGATGTAGCTTAGTGGTGCCACATCTGCCTGGCAAGTGCAAAGTTCTGAGTTTGATCCCTGGTGCCAACAAAAAAAAATTCAGCCTCCTTGATGTCCTACCTACAGTCCAAGGGTAATTTGCTTTGCCTCTTTGAGCTTTCTTCTTCTGCAATGTGTGAAATAACACCATCTATCTTTTGGAATTATAATGATGACTGAATATGGTATGCATAAAACACTGGGTACAGAGAGAAATCGAGTCCTGCGTCACCACTGTTGCTTTTCTAAAGCCCTGCCCACATCTTTTATAAATAGTTCCTTTACTAAAATCTCCTCAAATTACCTGATTTGAATGTGTCATATGTTTCTGCAAGGTCTCCAATATGCAAAGTAAGTTTCCTCATCTTCCCTACCTCACCTATAATATACCATTTTCTTCCTTAAAAATAAAATGTTTCTTTTAAAAATATAACCCTTTACTCTTTGATGTGTAATTACTTCCATAATGTCTCCATTTTCAATGCTAGCATTGTGTGTGGCTTAACCTGTATCTGAAGTTTTGGAATTTTTCTCTGATTTATAAGGTCCTAAATTCTCAAAGCTCAAAGCATTCTTAGATAAGGCAAGCATTTCCCAAAATGAGTTCCAAAAGCCACTGTTCCAGAAAAGTGAGCAGGTGTGTGGTAGAAAAGATGTTCTGGAATCTAGTAAGTTTGCAACATCCTTCCAAGACCACTCCCAAAGGCCCCCAGTGACACATTTAGCTATCTGAAAAGCCTTGCCATAAAGGATGAGATAGAGGGTAAATGGAGAGGGGAGGGAAGTGGGAGGGCACAAAGGAGAGAGGGAAGAAAGGAAATTTTTTTAAAAGAAAAGAAAAATCTTACCTAAATTAACTAAAAAAGCATTTAATTCTTAGACATCATTAAAAACCTACAGAACACGTTTTCTATAAAATACATCCAGAAGGTAACAGAAGAAAGAAAAACTCACTTTTCTAAGGTCAGTCAGATGTAAATAGTAGAACTGGGTTGAACCCCGGGTCTCTCAGCCCCCAACCCCCACTATACCAGAGTCTCCAGACTGCAGCACACACCAGAAACACCTGCAGAGCTTGTTAAAGCACAGATAGGTGAGCCCATTCCCTGACTTTCTACATTACTGGGTCTGGTGTGCATTCCTAGCTAGTTCCCACATGCTGCTGCTGCTGCGAAACCCACTGGGAGAAGCAGCAATCTAAACCCACCTGCAGCAAAAACAGAGAATGGCAAGTGACTTGCCAAGACACAAACATGTAAAAATGCCTAAACAACAATAGGTTCAATATATAACAATGCTACACACAGTACTATACCTAATTTCCAGTCAAACAGCCCACAAAGAAATACAGAAATTGGGACAGTGGGAACTGTGCTAGATCTTGAAGCAATGGGAGGCCTGAAGAAGAAAGAGAGGAATGGCCAGAGCATTCCAAGTGGAAACAATAGCTCCTATTACCCCCAAGTTTGGGTTTGTAGAATGCAGCCTTTGGAGCTGGGACCTGTCCTGCATGCCTTTGGAGAGTTCTCCATTTGCATGAGTGTGCCAGCTATTTCAGAAATTCAAAGCTAAACACATAATGCTAAATAGAGTAGCTACTATCAAAATAAGATGCAGAGGAGCTAGCAAAGATCTTCCTATTCCCTTTGCATCTGTAGCCCGCCCCTCCCCCCCAGCCCCACTGCCCCCTCTGCCCAGCTGCCCAGGATCCCATCTCTAATACAGGAAACCAAGGACCAAGCTATACTGGTCACTAGGTCTGGAAGCCAACTGGCTCATGCTTTTCAGATGGCCTGAAACACCATTTTCTCCTTTCTCCTCCAACATGTTTCACAAAAGCAACAAGGAAATGGAAGGAGGATGAGCATGGGATCTGTGTAATCTAGGAGAACAGACATAACCCACAAACTCAAAATCCATGTTATGACTTCTAAAAGCCACTAAGAATGATTCAGAATCATGCAGAGTTAAGTTATCTTGGGATGCCTGTGTTTCCACAGTATATGAAATGACAATACTAGCTACTGCATACAAACCTGTTGACATGCTCAGCAGTTTACACAGACTAGTGTTTTTAATCAATCACTTCTACCAATAAGACAAATATTACCTTACAATGAGGAAAATGAGGCACTGAGAGTTTAAGTAACTAGCCAAGACCATAGTGTTTGAAAGTAAAAGGAGAAACTAGTTTGTAAACCAAGGCCCCTGAGCTCTAGAGTTCTGATTTTAACTCTGGGATAGACTGTCTATCCAGAACAGATGTACAAGGTTATTTATTATACTATGGTTTTATGGGCAAAATATTAAAATACCCTATATACCATCATAGGCAATTGTTTATATGTATGACACATCTACTCAATGGAAAACTAGTTAGCTGTAGCTGGGCATAGTGGCCCACATCTATAATCCCAGCATTCTGGGAGGCTGAGACAGGAGAATTGCCAGTTGCCTGAGCAACCTAGGAAGACTTTCTTAAAATAAATAAATAAAAAGTGCTGGGGGTGTAGCTCAGTGTAAAAACCCTGGGTTCAATTCCCAGTATAAGAGAGGAAGAGAGGAAAAGAGGAATGGAGGGAGGGAAAGATGGAAAAAGGGAGAAAAGAAAAATAAAGGAAAGACAGAAAGAAAAAACAGGCTACCTACTAGAATGAAGTAGCTCAATATGTTAGGTGGAATGATCTCCAAGATTAATGGATCATTAAAAGAACATTAAAAGAAATGAAACAAAACAAAACAAAAAACCCAACTTTCAAAATACTGTGGATGTAATTTGTATGGGGAAAATATAGATACGTACTTAGAAAATCCTCAGGATAAAAAAAAAGAGAATGGTGTCCAGCACTGCCTTTGAAGAAAGACGCAATACAAATGACATGAAAAACTTACTTTCCACTGCAAACTAATTTTTAAATTTTGCATATGGTCATTTGTCATCTATTAATCTAAAACAAATTCAAAAACAAAACTGTTTTCCAACCTAATTTACAGTGGGCTAGGAATATAGAGCAAAAGTGATCAGAATAGTCTCTATGACAAAAATCCTCTATTATTTCCACAGAGAGAAGTAATTTCCTTTAGTTTTTCATAGTAGAGGTTCTAAGTGCATAAAACTACCACCCCATCCCCAAATTAATGCCATCTACTTCTTCAAACAAGATAATTGTTTCTTTAAAAGGCAGTACATTCCGCCTCCTGCCTTGAAAGCACAAGGTCCTGAGTTCAATCCCCGGTACCATGAAAACAAAACAAAACAAAAAAATAAAAATAAAAGGCAGTAGACATATAGTAGAAAAGAACTCCCTGTATAGATTATAAGAGACACATCAATGTTTGCATATGGGGTATGTATGAGAGATGCCAGAAATGGCCCCAAAATAAAGTAAAATAAAATAAAAGATGACAGTTAACAAACTATCATAGCCACTATGTGGCTAAAATAAAAATGGGCATGTTACCTCCACGTCTCCCCCACACACACAAACACACACACAAACGAAGTCTCTTAGGTCTTATAAAACATGCAAGGCATCCTGCCTTGCCAAATTTAAACAGGGATATATTTTTAAGCTACTATAATTAGTTCCCATTTGTCTATGAATCAGCCTTTATGAGGCAATAGCATTTAAGCCACATCAGATGAAATACGAAACCACATCATGTCTGTTTATTATTTTAAAAAGGAGAGGGTGCCAAATTTCTTGCAACACTCAATTCAAACACTGAAATTTGAAGGACAGAATGTCCTGTTGTCCACATTTGAAGATAGGAATATATTTTCATCTAACACATCAGCCCCAGGTTCAGCTGGCAACAAGAAGGAACTAAATTGCAGAGCTCAAAAATAGGACTTACGTACTAAAGCACCTTTCATTGCTCATATAGGATATTTATA